CGCCCTGCTCCAGGCTGGGCTGTGGCTCCTGGCACCGCCTTCCCCAGGATGAGTGCGGGCCCTCGCGGGATGGACATGGTGCCAGTCACTGTCCGTGCTGGATGACTGGCCTTACCGCTTCCAGACTGCCCTGTCCGTCCTTTTCCTAATTAATAATAGAACCAAGGGAGGGTGAATAACATCCACTTAAAAAGCAGGCCCAGGGCCCTGGCCAGTGTGGCTCAGTGGATAGAGCATCGGCCTGTGGACCACAAGGTCCCGGGTTCGATTCCGGTCAAGGGCACGTACCTCAGTTGCAGGCTCCTCCCTGGCCTGGGCCCTGGTCAGAGTGTGTGCGGGAGGCCAGCAATGGATGTTTCTCTCACATCCATGCTTCTGTCTTTCCCTCTCTCCCCCTCTCTCTCTAATCAATGAAAGAATATCCTCAGGTGAGGATTAACCAAAAAAAAAGCAGGCACAAGGCCCTGGCGGGTTGCTCAGTGGTTGGAGCTTCAGCCCATGGACTGGGTTCGATTCCAGGCAAGGGCACAGAGCTCAGATGCAGCTCGATCCCCTGGCCTGGTCTGGGCACGGATGTGAGGCAACCAGTTTGTGTCACATGTGTCTGTCTCTACCCCCTTCCTCTCTCTCTGAAAATCAATGGACAACAATACCCTCGGGTGACGGTCAGTAACAACAACGGAAAGCAGGGGCAGGCCCTGGCCGGGCGGCTCATCCTGTGCACAAAGGTCGCGGGTTCGATGCCCGGTCAGGGCACACGCCCAGGTTGCAGATTTGATCCCTGGTTGGGGCGCATATGGGAGGCAACTGATCGATGTTTCTCTCTCACATCAACGTCTCCCTCCCTCTCTCTCTCCCTAAAATAAAATTTTTTAAAAAATATATTTTATTGACTTTTTACAGAGAGGAAGGGAGAGGGATAGCGAGTCAGAAACATCGATGAGAGAGAAACATCGATCAGCCGCCTCCTGCACATTCCCAACTGGGGATGTGCCCGCAACCCAGGTACATGCCCTTGACCGGACTCGAACCTGGGACCCTCCAGTCCGCAGGCCGACGCTCTATCCACTGAGACAAACAGGTTTTGGCAAATAAAAATATTTAAAAAACATCCTTGGGTGAGGATTATTGAAAAGGAGGTATAGGCCCCCCTTCCTTTTTCCACGATAGACAGCCTGCAGGTAGGAGCCCCCGCACGCCCCCCCTGCCCCCAGTGCGTGTGGTAAGCCGGGGGCAGGAGAAAGACGGCTGGTAGGGAGCACAGGGTATGTTGGACGTGAGACGCTGTGGTGAGTGCACCGCTGAGCTAGAGAATGGGGCTGGGGAGCCCTCATCCTACCTGGTGATGGGGCATCTGAGGGGTGAACTGAGGCTGGAGCCGGCCCCCTGCGCTCTGTGCGTGGCTCTCAGGAGGGCATTCCCCCAGGGGATAGCCGGCAGCGGCTGGAGATGCTCTGGTTACTCTGCCCAGGGGCGGCCCGGGGGCTGAGCCAGGGGTGCTGCTACACGTCCCATATGCCCAGGACGCCCCCCCCCCACACACACAGTTAGTGCGAGGCCGGGCTTGGTCCCCCCGTGATGTGCCCAGTGGTGGTTCCCCAGATTAGGAATGGAATGGGGTTCGAGGCAGTGCACCCAGAAGACGGGCAGATGTAGAACCCTGAGGAGCCACACCAGGGAAGCCAGAGTCACTGGCAGTCTCCCCTCGGGCAGTGACCACGATGTGGGGTGTTGTGCCCGTGTCTGTCCGGCCACAGAGATCCTGGCGGACGCCGGGCAGCACCCCGATTTCAGTCCGCGGCTGCGGCCCTCTGCCGTGAACCCTGTATGTCCAAGCGTGACCGTCCACGTGGGCCCAGGACAGCGGTTCTCACGGGCTGCTCCTTCCAGGTGCTGCAGCTGGAGAGGAGGGAGCGGCAGGGCCTGGACGGTGTGGACTGACCCCGGCCCGGCCCCA